TTTATAATTTTATGCAATTGCAGTAGAAATAAATTCTTAGAAGCATTTCTATAAGCTGTTTGGAAGATATAGACGGTTTTTTTTAATGTTTCACAAAATCAGGTTTTACCGACCTTAACGGATTCTCACTTCCGCATGTCAATAATGGATGCATATATTGGCGCATTTGTGTCAAACAACGACAATAGCGGCTAGTTATCGTTTATTCGGCGTTTCTTTGAAATTCTAACTGGAAAAAAGTTGATACGTATTTAAAGTAAGTATAGACATATAATGCATAATAATTACCTTTTCTATCAAATATCATAATATGTAATATTATCACTATCGCTACGTACGTATTGAACAACAATCTTATTTTGGCAATTCCTTTATAAGTAATATTAATGACCACCTTGTGTGATATGATCGATCACAAAGAAAAAATATAAACGTAAATCTTGAAGTTTTTAAGATTAAAAAAAATGGATAGGAAATCAATATATTGAGAAAGCATGATTTTGTGTTTCTTTAACAATTATGCAATATTTATCTTTTATAAATTGTAAGAACATTATTGAATTGTCGAACTGACGGTTCTTATAATAAAATCAAAATTTAAAAATTCGGTTTATAACAATTTATTATTATTATTTTTATTCAGAGCCTATAATAATTTTTGAAATTTAAGGTTTAGTACAGTACAAGTGATTCGGCATGTAGGGGTTGACATAAGGATAACTATAAATGCAAGTGTATGTTGACAGTTTTACATGTGATTAATTCTTTGATTTTTTTATGTGATATAGCGCATAGATTCGCTGTACTTGCGTGTGTATTTGAAGAGAAATTGTTATAAATATGGCTGAAAAAAAAACCTGATTTATACGATAATTGAATTTATTCTAACAAAAAAAATGAATACATCTGATCACAATCAACTTGAAATAATCACTCCTTCGCGACCACTTTTTCCACCTCCAATTACTCAAGATCAGTTAGTAACCTATAAATCTCGTACTAAAGGCAAACATTCTAGATTACCAACAGCATTTATTATTTACAAAACAGCTTATCGACAACAACTTATTGCTGACGATAACCTTCCGTCTATGCATTTATTTTCATCTATGGCAAGCCTTTCATATGAAAGAGAGCCTATACACGTTAAAACAGCATACGTGAATCTTTCTTTACAATTACGTTCTGAAGGATAATTAGAACGCATTCACCATAAATATGATAAATGCAGATCCTTGCTTGAGTGTTTGCGTAATTTTAGCATATCAGATATATGATATCTGGTATTAAGCTACTACAGCATATTGTTTTTAATATTAAGTGCACATATTTTAAAATTATTTTTGATGGTCGATTGATGATCAGTTAGGAACATTTATCATTTACTTGTTTTTACGTAGTTAAGAACTTTTATGCTTCATTATCATAATAAGTTATTATAAAGCCTCTTAGGTCAAAACAAAATTTAGATTTATTTTTGTTAATTTCTATAGATCACTTTTTTAAGATTAATAATCCTTTAATAAAATATGAAACGCGTTGAGAGTTTTATTTTTTTTTATCAGGTTGGGATAGGTTGGGATTAAAGTAGGGGAGGGCCTGTATCCAAAAAAAATTTTTTTTAATAAAACACATAATTATGTTATCTTAAAAATATTATTTAGTCAAAATACAGTATTAGCAAATTGCAACGTATTCAATCCTTTAAACTGGTAACGGATTCGAGACTATTTTGGGCTCTGATTTTTATGCATCAAGGAGATCGACTTCGATCCAGATCGATCTAGACGATCACGATCCAGACCTAATGTAGCCCTTTACACGATGACATATTACTTTATTAAAAGACTTCAAATTTTAATGTGTTTACAATTGATAATTAATAATTAATAATTAATAGACAATGATATTGATGGATAAAAAGAATTACGGGGTATTTCTTCTTATTTCGTGATGATAATCAGGTTTAATAAAGATCTTTTCTATAAATATGCCGGCAGTTACAAATAAATTTTCTCTTACGAAAAAAATAAATTTATTATTAAAGAAAGAGAAAAAAAATAAATAACTACCTTCAACTAAATAAAATCTTTATAACCAAGATTTAAAATACAAAATGGATGTTAATCAACCTGATATTATCGTTCCTTCACAACCTTTATTTCCACCACCAGTTACTCAAGATCAACTAGAGACCTATAATATTCGTACTAATGGGAAACTTCCAAAATTACCAACAGCTTTTCTGATTTATAAAATAGCATATCGCCAGCGACTTATTGCTGACAATAACCTTCCACCAGCAAATGTATTCTCACATATGGCAAGTCTTTCTTACGAAAGAGAACCTAGACACGTTAAAGCAGCTTAT